TCTTTTCATGAAAGCCAGCCTTACATCCTCAGGGTCATCCACAATTTCCTCCAAATGGAATGAATGTCGACTTTTTACATATCCTAAGACACCAGCAGCCGTTCTACTAGGCAGATCAGACCCCTCACGAGTCACAGAAACTCTGTTTCCAGAGCCAGAATCTTCACTGTCGTCATCAACATCCAGAGGTGTCGAACTTATTGGTTTTGAGAGAGGATTACGACCTCTGGTTCAAAGAACCTGAGTCATCGGAACCACCTTCGATTCAACCCTGACATTTGCAGTAGACTTATGTTTCTTGGATTTCGAACCCCCAGCCTTGTCAGATGCAACAACACTTTTTCGATTTGGCCGGAGATGAATCTTCAGCGGTGTCAGTAGCCTTTCCTGGTGACTTAGTCATGATGATTTCTGCAAAGCACCGGGAAACGAAAGCCAGAAGCGAGAGAAATGCAGAAGAAATAGTCTAGAAAAAAGCGAGAGAGGAAGTGAACTGTATGAGAAAAACTAGGGTTTGAAATAGGGAAAACCAACAGTTACTCGTGATAAGACAGATAGAGGCATGAACAATTTGTTTTCCCCCCACTTTCCTCGGTTTTCGGAAAAAAACAGCCACTCGAGAAACTTTTCTTCCAAATCGTCTCCAAGCCCACTTTCTTCTTTTTTTCAAGCCTAGTAAGGTAACTTGGGCTAAGATCTGCATAACATAGGTTTTCAAATAACTGGATAGAACCAGTTCATTACTAACATATGATTCATGCTTAATTGGTAGAAATCAATAAAAACAACTGAACTTGACCAAAAGGAACAATCTATCATAATGACAACCCATGAGATTTAAAACATACAAGACATGAGAGGATTTCAACACGAAGACTTAGGCCTAACATATATACACACAATCTGACTCACACAGTAGTCACTTAAACAGAGCGCAGAGATGAAACCACTGTGAACTGAGCTGTAATAGACAAAAATCAGTCTCCAAACCACACTAATTTTCTGAGATCAGAACATGCGAACCAAACTGAGAAGATATTTGATCAAG